TAAGTTCTTTCACAATTGCGACCGCTAACACCTGGAGGCACCCAAACCAGACCCAGTATCCACATGTAGCCTCACCAGCTTCCTTCCACCTGCTGGCTAGGCTTACATTACACAGTCCTGACTGCAGCAGGCCTTCATGACTGCAAGGGCAGACTGCTGACTTCTGTCCAGCTCCTTGCTACTCTTCTCCCACTGGTGACCCTCCACTCTGACATTTTGCAGGGGGTCAGTGCATCCCAATGCAGGACTGCCTTTATGGAACTCCAGGAGGTTCATGCTGACCCATTCTCTATCCCAACCAAGCTCACTCTGTATAGCTCTCTCTGAATTTCCCTCTAGTTTATGAACAGCTAAGAGTCATCTCCAAAATACGGACTGCCAGATGAAGCCAGTCCAGGATGTCTGTTTTGTGACACAGACATAGGACAGATTTACTCTTGAATAAACTCTTTGTCTGCAAGCCTCGTAATCTTTGACCTTTAGTTGACAGGTAAACAGTCTTTTTCTGGTACCAAAATGGTTTGACTCAAGTGCTGATAGCAGCCCCCCGAAGTTACTTCTATAAGTGGCATGGCTGGCAGTAGGAACCTTGATATTTTTCTGTGGCTTGATAGTGCTGTAGGTTATGCTGTAGTAATTACATGCCACATCAGCTTTGCTCATAGGTAGGCACTGAGGGCCCTCTGTGCCACCTGGGGCAATACCAAGACCAAGGAAAGCTCTGATAGTCTGCTATAGAATGCATCGAGTTTTTTTTCCTATGCTACTACTGCAGATATCAACACTTAACTGTTACCTGTATCCAATGCCACAGTAATACCAGTTTCCAAACCAAGCTTAGAAAGAAAATTGAGCCCTGCAAAGCTGCAATTAAGCTACTGTATTTGTGTTTTGGAACTGTCATCAGCAATAAATGCAACCCATTTATTGTCACCTGAGATAGGTGTTTGGCAACCAGGCAATTTTGGATTGATCCTGTCACTGAACAAGGTCCAGAGCACTTAGATCAACATAACAACTCTGAATTGTGGGTATGTGATTCTCAGAGTAAGCTCAAGGCCTGAGACAGGCAATAACATGCTGCAAAAAATGGGACTGTACACGGTCATCCCTTGCAACCCGTGAACATCCTTTTCCAGTAGGACTTCCATTTGCTTCATTTCAGACCAACAATTTTGTTCAGCTGCTGCCATTTCCTTCCTTCCTTCCTTTCTTTTTCTCTTCTTACTGGGGACTCCAGCAATAACTAATAAAATGAAGCAATTTGTAGTGTTTAATGTGGGATCTTTGCAGATCATTAAAAAGGAAAGAATGTACAAAACCCATTTGTCTCTCCACTGTTCATTCCCTTCTCCCCTTGCTCAGATCAGGAATGAAGACAGGTGTGTTTCATTTCTGGTTTGTTCTTTCCCTTCTCCAAGGAGCTAGTGCAGCACTGTGTTGGGTGGGGTTTATTTATTTATTTAAGTGTTAAGACCTTGCTTGTTCTGCTCAAGTGCCACCCTAGCTACAACCTGAGGACAGCATCAATAACCAACAGCAGCAGAGGACCAACTGATTGCTCCAGGGTGTATCTTAGTAGTGCAGCAGGGTGAATACAGAATCAGAGCCTGGATGAAAGATGGCATTTGCAGCCTCCACCAACATTGCCACACAGCATTTGTGTTGCCAACTGGAGCCATGGCAGCAAGACAAAGGACAAATCCTGAACCTCATTAGGATGGTGAGGAGCAGCACATAGATGTGTCATCCTGAAAGCAGCAACCAGTTTTCCTCAGAGCATAGACTCGGGCTATTTTCTCCGAGAAGCTAGAAATGTGTGTTTTGTACCTTTGCACCTAAAAGAGCCCTGCACTTTGCATGCTGGTTCTAAAGACTTAATTTCAGTCAGAGAATAAACTATTATCAATTACAGAATCCATGGTGGTGATTGTACTTCCACAAACTTAATGATTTTTCCAATTATGAAGGAGTTGTGAAATGTAATGTCGGCCACTAAAACTCTCCCACCCATCATACAGATGTTCACAGCATGAGGGCTTTCACCACACTATGAAATACTCATCAGAATAGATGCCTAGTTAACACCTCTTATAAAGTCTGCAGAAAGTGATTCACCAATGTTACGCTGTAAGCAGCAATAACAGGATTCCTTGAGCACCTCAAGCAATGGGACAGCAATATCATTTACTGTGTTGTTTTGGCACAGTCCTTGAAAAGGAGTCAGGAGAAATACTCAGGGCAGAACCGAGCCATATGATTTTCCAGACTCCAAACCAGATTATAGCCTAATGATTACTTTCACTACACAGTTAAGACACACAAACACAAGTTGTTCTGAAAGGCTGCTTCAACTATTAGCTGTTCAAGACAATCTGAGTACACTTTGACAATTAGAGGAAGGAAAAGGAGAGGTTTATAATTTTTTAAAAAATAAACTTTTAATGTGCTATATAGGCATGAGATCTTCCAGCTATATGCAATACTATACACACTGCAACACACCACATTTTAACTGTTTATTAAAAAGTCTGGGAAGAATACTGCTTCACTGGAAAAAACCCATACAATTATTTAAATAAACAAATACAACATTACAGTCCAAAATCCTGATTTTATTTATTCTGAAGTTACTGAGTACTTTCTAAAAAATAATGAAAAAAACCTTCCCACAGACAATCAACGTTTTCTGAGATTATTTTCTCTTGCTGAACCAGGAACCTTGATCTGATCCTCGAAGCTGTATGAAACTTTATACACATTTGTGTGATGCATATTCACCTGATTTGTATGAAGCAAAGGATCCCAACCCAAAATCTGCAGACAGAAATAAAGTGGTACCTTCTAGCTTCAGCTGACTTTTGATCAAGCCCATGACAAGAAAGATTTGGTACAACAGTCATCTCCATAAGCTAAAGACAATTTGCCTGAGGAAACCTGGCAAGGCCTTAGTTAACAGTGCTGTTGGTTTCTATGGCAATTCCTGTTAGAGAGAGTAGAGGTTTACTTTTCCATTACAGAAGAAGAAAAACAGTCCATAGAACAGCAACAATGCCAGATTCTCAAAAATGCACTTCAACTTGTGAATGAAGAAATATGACATATTTCTGTCCCAAGGAACATGATGGAGTTGCCAGAGCCCACACAGGCAAAGACTCAGACATCAGGAGATGCAATCTGATTCTTATTCTCTGTGAATTCTATCACCTTCATGAACTCCTACTCTGGTGAAAGAAGAATATGCTAACTTAAAAGTGCCTGTTTGCTATTGCCAGTTGGGTGATAAGAGGAGAATGAAGAGTTCTGCAAAGACTTTAAGGAAATAAAAAGCTCATGTAGGTGAGTACCTGAAAAATGGGATGTTTGGTTTTCCCTGAAGAGGAATGTTGTCTTTTTGTACTCCATTGTGCCACCCTTCTCTCAGAAAACCAGTAAGAACCTATTCCAGTGAAACTTCAATTCTGAGTGAGATAGGGACAGTTTGACCCACTACTGTTGCTGCACAGAATGACACCAGGCTTCTCACTTATGTGTGACCCACTCCTTTTCAAACTGTGTTGGATGTAAAGAGTATAGCAGGCTTAAAAGCAAGAAGAACATTCATCACCGATGACATTATATGGAACATCCTTAACATTCTGATCAGATTGTACAATACAATGAAGCATTACTTTTAAAGGCAGTAAGAGGCTATTCCATCACAATTTTTAGATTTGCACTTCTTTCTAAGTACACATAAAAGGGAATAGTAGGTAAGAAAGATGAATTAAACAATACACAATTTCACAGTCCTATTGCAGTCTGTAAAATACATAAACTGCATATAAACAGTTTGCTACTACAACTGCTGATGGTTTAATGCACAACATTATAAACATAGGTGGGAGATGATACAAAGTGAGGACTAATAGGCTATTGATTCCCCAGTTTCAATTTCTGCACAATTATATTTTTTTTACTTATCCTATTCAACAAGCACACAGAGCATGTAGCAAATATCTCTCAAGTGGATGAGCAGCGAGCTGGCAGGACTAAGGTACAGAGCAGCTTCTTCAGTGCTTCTGTCTGACAGTAACTGAAATACCGCAGGAGGCTTCTGGTCATGGTGAAAATGAACACTGGACAGAAGGTATGTGTGTCCTGGATTTGAGTGAATGGTGGGGTTTTTGGTAGCAAGGGAAGGGGCTACAGTGGTGGCACCCTGTGAGAGGCTTCTCAAAGCTCCCTCAGTTCCAAGTCGGCCCCACCTCTGCACCAAGGCCTGGCCAATCAGCTGAGCCTCTGTGATAACACATTTAAGAAGGGGACCTGGGAGGAGGATTTTTACTTGTGAGGAAGAGTTGTGACATCTATGTAAACACCAAGGTCAGAGGAAAAATGGAGGAGGAAAGGGGTGGGGATGTGTGCTGGAGCAGAGACCCCCCTGTATCCTGTGATAAGACATGAGAACAGCCTCCCCTGCCACCCATGGAGGTCTACAGTGGAACAGATGCTGAGATATGGTCTGTGGTGGGCCCCACGCCAACTCAGGTGACAGCTTCCAAAGGAGGCCAGGGCCCTGTGGGAGGAAGTGGTCCCCACTGTTGTGGTTTGGCACTGGGAGGATTGCAACATGAGGGGGTGTCCCATGCTGGAGCAGCTCAGGAAGGGCTGCATCCTGTGGGAGGGACTCAAGTCGGAGAAAGTTGGTGTCCCACACAGGAGCAGCTAGGGAAATGCTGCAGACCATAGGAGGGACTCAAGTTGGAGAAAAGTTATGGAGGACTCTCTCCTGTGAGAAGCAGACCACACTGAAGCAGCGGGAAGAAGTTCCAGAAGTTTCCTCCACCCAAGATGGAAGAAGCAGCAGCACTGACTGCACCCCCCATTCCCAGATTCCTGTGCTACTGCAGGGAGAAGGTAGAGATATCAGGAGCAAAGCTGAGCCCTGGAAGAAGAGGGGGGTGGGAGAAAGTGTTTTCAAGATGTCATAATACTTCTTACTGTCCTACTCTGTCTGTACATGGTGTTGTTGTTACTGTCTGTAATAAATTTATGTTCTTTTTTTCTTCCCCTGATGACTCTGTCTTTTGCCTGTGACCATAATGAGTCATCCCTCCCCATCCTTATCTTGAATCCTTTTACTTATTTTCTCCTTCTCAGTGCTGGGGGAGAAGAGGGGAGTGAGTGGCTATGTGGTGCTCAGTTGCCCTATCAGCTCACACCATGACAATGTGTCAAGTGACCATGTTTTAAGAATGTCTTGGCACACCAGAAAAATTACGCTCTGCTACATACTGCAGTTCTCACTTACAAAGCCATAAAAGCCATTTTATGGAAAGATAGTGTGACATATTCTTGTTAGTCTGCTACCTTAGTAGGACAACTGTTTGATCCAGATGAATAAGCAAGTAAAGATTTTGCCTACTAAAGCTTTATAAAAGCCATCAACCACCCTCATACATAAATATATGCATATATACACATACAAAAATGACTCTCAAATGCTTAAAACATTATGGTGTAACTGCCCCAAACAGAATTAGCTGCCTGCACTTATGAACGAAATTTGCCAATGAAGACTGCAACACTTAAGAGATTATTATACCAAAAAGGATAAAAATATGTAACACACTACTTTTTAATTACATTCTCGATTCATAAATAATGTACCATAATTTGCTCTCACAAAATTATTTTAAGATTGTGTGCCTAATAGGAGTTCAACAGTTTACTGCCTCAAGAAACTGCATTAAAAATCCCCAAATCCATGAAGCTAAGTGATCAGAGCCACAGGAACTTGCCTGCTAAGCAGCTCCTTCTCACGTCCACCAAAAACACCCTAGGGTCCCTCAGCGTCAGGTTACTCTTTCACAGGGAAAAGTTTCTCAGGGTAGCAAGAGAATAAAAGTTGCTGGTGTTTTATTGCTGAGAAGAACTTTTTGATTCTTCTCAAAACATGGAGGAAGAACTTTCATTTGGAAGTAATTCCATCCACAGAGAACCTCTGCAAAAATTATCTATTCTCCTTGCACTAAAATAAGATTTATTTCTCTTATGTAGCAGTACAGTTCTAGAAGCACGCTGCAACATAAGAGTACCATATATGCAGTCCCATACCATAACTCTGCAGAGCACCCACATTCTCAAGACTAAAGGCTGCCACTCTACATCACAGATTCAAACACTGAATTCCAGCAACAAATTCTGTGCAACCCAGCTTACCTCTCACCTCCCATCCACAGGAAGGGGTGAGACTAGGTTATTAGAGGGTCTGCACAGCCACGGGGTAAAGCAGTGACAAGTGTTCTGCTCCTTTGATAGGCAGCTTTTTTGTGGTGTAGTAGTGGATGACTTCAGGAACACTGTCGAAAGGAGGGCTGTTCTGACCCAGGACGTATTTCTCTTTGGTTTTCATCAGTTTCATGTGCATAAAACCTTGGCTGCTCCTGCAAGGAAAGCAAATCATTAGTTCATGCTTGTGCATAGGGATGAAGGGAGCAGCACCACAACAGTCCCTCCTTTGTGATGTAGGGGAATGTAGGAGAACAAAATGCAAGTAGTTGCTGAGTGATAGGCCAAGACAGCAGCCAGACTCTGACAGTAACTGCTAGCTGCAAACTCCCATGGACAGTCCAAATCAAAGGCAGGCTAAGCTATTATTTTGGTTTTGCCAGCTGTGCTGTCTGGATCCAAGTGCAAGGTTATCTTACATTCAAATTGATCCACAGGTGTGCCAGAGAACAACTACTTTTTTGTGCCTCTACAGTGTTCTGTGAATATTTACTTTTCACTATGGCCAATCATTACTTCTGGACCAAAAGGTATCATTGGCTTTGGCCTGTCAGCGGTCCAAGGCTCTCTTCATAGACACAGAGGTGAGCCATGAGCCTCACTCAGGTGGGGCCAGGCTTGCCCTGTCCTGTCGAGAGACCTCAGGACAGACAACAACCATCCTACCCTGGCAGCAACTGGGCTATGTGCAGAACCTGGTGGCTTCCTCAGATGAGCCCATTCCCAAGATTAATGGCATAAAGACTTTCACCTGCACTGTACTGAGGAAAGGCTGCTATACTGCAGCCTTTCTGCAGGTAGAAGCCAGCCTGTGACTTTCACACCAGAACCATTCAATTCCTAGATGACCTACCTGCACGCACAGTATGCTGAATTCTCATGATTACATGGGGAAAAAACAGTGTCATGGTAACTGCCCTGTCTACTCTTGCAAAAGCAACTCATCCAATATAATGCCACTCTTACAAGTAGCACCCATACTGCCTTATAGCACAGTAGGTGACAGAGCTGACCTCGTCTTCCCAGCAATGACCCTTCAGTGCCTGCTGTCTTTAACATGTCATACAGATTATTTTAAGTGTACAGTTTAGCCAAGACAAAACAAGAGCAAAGGACAGCTCCTACACTTCAAGATGCTAAATGAGGTCTAGAGGGATTTACAGCTTGCCTGATGTCCCACTCCCTTACTTTCTGGCTCCAAACCACTGTTTCTTCCAAGTGTGTCCAGGGAAAAAGATAATAGCATTAAAACTGGAGCCAGTCTATGTCAGCAAGGAAACCCAGTATAAGATGACACAGAAAGCTACAGCAGGAAAACAAATAATGCCAAGTTAAAAGCAGCTTCTCTAAAATCTTCCATTTTCTAGTTAGCAGGTGCAGCATTCCCTCCAGAAGTGCTTGTAGCACAATCCAGCTCCTATCTTTCAGATGTATTCAACAATTCTCTGATAATTGGCCCTTTCTGGTGAGTAGAAACCATGGCAGGCACTGTAATTATAGCTCTACATGCTTAAAATCTTCCTTTAAATATTAATTTTTTAGTGTAAAAAAAAAAATCTCTTTTGAATAATAATTGCTCTCTAAATTATTCCCTTTAAACAAGGGTGGCATCTTTAAATAATTTATTATGAGGACAAATGTATTGTTCCCTTCCTTCAGCCCACTATGCATCTGTTTTGCTATGAAATGCCTTAAAAGTGTGCAGATAAATTAATGGAATCATAGGTGCATACTAATTTCAGGAGTATAGCAAGAACTGGAGAACAATGTGCCAAGTGCACTTTAATCTAGAAAGGGCAAGGACACATGCCTTTTTTAAAACAGGAAGAAAATGCATATAATGTAAATGAACTGCTAAAAGCCATGGCAGACAGCTATTGTTTCCTGTAGTGATTTAACCCCAGCCAGCAACTAAGTACCACACAGCTGCTCACTCACTTCTCCCCTCTCATAGTGGGATGAGGAAGAGAATAAAACAAACAAACAAAAAAAGTAAAAGTTGTAGATTGAGATGAGAACAGTCTAATAACAACAAATAAAATAATAACAACAATAATAATAAAATATAATAATAATTGTAGTGAAAAATAATATAATAAAAGAGAGGGAGAGAAATAAAACCCAAGAAAAGACAAGTGATGCACAATGCAATGGCTCACCACCCACTGACCAATGCCCAAGCAGAGATCCACTCCCCCAGCCAACTCCCTCCAATTTATATATTGAGCATGATGTTCTATGATATGGAATATCCTTTTGTCTAGTTCAGGTCAGCTGTCCTGTCCATGTTCCCTCCCAGATTCTTGTACATCTGCTTGCTGTCAGACCAGGGAAAACTGAAAAATCTTTAACTTAGGGTAAGTGCTACTTAACAACAACTAAAACATCTGTGTGTTATCAACATCATTCTCATCCCAAATCCAAAACACAGCACCATACCAGCTACTAGGAAGAAAATTAACCCTATGTCAGCCAAATCCAGGACAATTCCCTAAGAAGGACCTATGTTAGATATGTACATTTGAGTAGTACATAGTCATTAAGCTTACAATATATCATGTCTGTGACTAACAGAATTTCACAAACGAACAAAAAGCATCTCTATATCATGACAGGTCAGACTTTTGGGAGGCCACACTGTTTGTGAAGGTGAGTAAAAAAGAGTGTGACCTAGAAGTTATGGATAGCAGCCTAGTGGAATTCAGCCAAGGCAAATAGAAAGCTTCTGCCCTTGAGATGGCATAAACCTAGACAGCAGTGCAAGCCGGGGCATGATTGGCCAGAAAAGGAACTATGATGAACAGGACACAGAACATGATTCAACAGTCTGCCCATGAGGCAGCCTGGGCTGCGTAGCAAAAGCATAGCTAACTGCTGGAATAAAGTGAATACTTCCTCTACAGATCACTAGTGACTCTGCATCTGTATCTGTATCTGTAACTGGTGAGGGCCTCCCCATAAATAAGAGAAGCCAACACGGAAGTAAGTCCAGAGCAGGGCCACTAAACATGGTCTGGGCGTGGGAGCACATGATATACAATGATTGAGAGAAACATTCAGTCTGGAGAAGAAAAGGTGAGATGGAGGGTGTCAGGTTGCAGTCATTCATTGCCTAAATGGGAGAATTACAGAGAAGATGTAAGTCAACAAGCACTGATACAGGGCCTAGATAGGAACAGGGGATGTAAGGGTTAATGTGGGAATAGCAAGAAGGGGATGAGGAGGGAAATAGTCGAGATAAGAGTTTGCCTAGCTTGTATGAGGTGTTTGTGTTGCTCGACCACTATCTCCTGTTTAAGTAAAAAGCCTCCTCCACCCCTGAGTAAGTGAAGATGTTTGTGTTGCTCGACCACTATCTCCTGTTTAAGTAAAAAGCCTCCTCCACACCTGAGTAAGTGAAGATTACCCCACAACCGGCACAAACCTGCTCTGCGGGTCCAGGGGGTGACAGAGACTGCGCAGGAATTCGGGGTGAAAAGTTCAGCACTGAGGAAGAGGAGATACTTCCTCCCACGACCACGGCCCAGTCCTTCACGACCCCTGCCCAGGACCAAAGGAACTCACTGCGCAGACTCAACTGGGAGGAGATCATGGAAATGCTAATTTTAATACGAAGCGGGGATAGGTGATGCATATGTATAGGCGTATTGCGAAATATTATGAATATGTAATCATTTGCTCTATAAATCTAAGGCAATGGTGCCACATGGGAGCACACACATTAGGAGGAGTGATCCCCTGTGTGCCCAGCGCTGAATAAACATACCGACTTTACAATCTACCAGATTGTGGAATCTGTTTTCCGCACGTCAGCACAAGCTTCAACAAAGAGAGTTCCCACTGGACAAAGGGAAAAGCTTCTTCCTCATGAGAGTGGTACAGCCCTGGAACCAGGCTCAAGACAGGTCAGGAGGTCTCCATCCTCACAAGTTTTCCAAATTTGCCTGTACAAAGCACTCAGCAATCTGATGAGTGTGTCCCACTTGGAGCAGATGGTTGGACTAGACATCTTCAGAGGTCCATTTCCAACTAGATCTCTCTAGGAGTCTATGAATGATCTTTACCTTTTGTGTATTTTCAGAAACCACTAAGTAGAGCAACAACTGAAACATTGGTAAAAATTTACTATTAAAAAAAAAATCAAACAATAATCAAAGAAACCTGTGAAATTAAATTTCAGGACTTGTAAGTAAAACTTTCCCGAAATTGAAAATGTGGGGTTTGTGCAATTATTCCACAATTACTTGCACAATAAAATCTACTTCTATTTCAAGTGAGGCACAGAACACCATTAGGAGGAAGACCTGCAAAGGTGACAAGTTTTGACACCTGAGAGGTTCAAGAAAGTGAGAACTCAATCCAGTGTGATGGCAGACACTAGAAGGTGCACTCTGCATGCCAGATTGCTCACCTCCTGCTGTTTGGATTTTCCCTTTGCCAACCAGCCAGCAGGTATGACATTACCTTGCAACTGTCTGTAGAGAAATCTTGCAGTTAATGGATACAATGGGACTGTAGACAAGCTATTGTTCTGCACACAGGTCTGTCCTAGTTTGACACAAATGCTGAGAAGCCAGCTATCCTGAAGTGGGCAGAAGAGCAACTACTGTCTCCTGGAAGCAGGGAACATGGTACTTTCCTGCACACTTGTGCATTTTAGAATAATAAAACGTTTTTTAAATTAAATTTATTTTATTTTATTTATTTATTTATTTATTTATTTTATTTTATTTTATTTTATTTTATTTTATTTTATTTTATTTTATTTTATTTTATTTTATTTTATTTTATTTTATTTTATTGGTACCATCTGCAAATTGTCATTTCTTTGCTGGGAAAGCAAAATCTGATTGCCTGGGGAAAGGAAACACTCAAGCATAATGGGCTTGCCAGACAAATATGGTGGAGAGAATCTCCATCAATAAATTCTGTTCTGTTCTGTTCTATTCAATGCATTGCTTCAGTTATTTTTGGACCAGTGTTCTGGCTTAGCAGTCAGAGCTTCAGACCGTTTGCTTACAAACAAGGGAATATTTCTGCTGCTGATTTTTCCTTCACTGCAAAGCAGTTGAAATATGGGATGAACTAATAGTTCTGTGATCATACTATTTCACCAGACCACTGTCTAAGGCTCATAGTGATGCTGCACAAGACA